AAAAAAAAAAAAAAAAAAAAAAAAAAAAGAGAGAGAGAGAAATATCGAAATGAGGGGAATGGAATTGAGATTTGAGCAAAACATAGGCTGGGTCTATGGGACATTCATAGACTTTAGGCCCCTCATATATATTTTAAAGCTGTTTTAAATTTAGAAGGCATGTTTGATAGTTTTAAAGATCCAAAACTTTAGTTTCAATGCGTAGATTGTTCAGCCGGTTATCCACAGCGATAGCTGGAGGGTTGTAAAGGGTTTTATTTATACTCAGAATGTAGCCACTCACGAAGATCCCTCGTAGGCGCTTATTTTCTTCCTATCAACCATCAGATAACTGAGGCGCTCGCAAGGCATCTTCTACCAAGAGTGCTGTCTCAAATCGTTAGCGCCCTGATAACATCTATGGCCTCTTATACCCAGAGCACCCAAGATAAGACTCGTTCCATCTCCCGTCCTGTGTTCTTGTTCTAGTTCTCCGTCATTCTTATCTATAGATAATTTTTATTTCATAGTTTTAGTTTTAATTAGAGCGTGAAAAAATCAAGCGTGTTAGCTTCGTATACGACTTGGCTCATATCGCTAAGTAGCGTCAAGGGGAGTTTGGCAGTAATCGATCGTCCACGCATCTGATAGTGTTTAACTTTAATCGACATCGTATTGAGTATAGCGTAGCCCTAATGACCTCGTCCTATGCGTGCCATATTCATCCAGGCTAAGACCTCTCAAGGTGTTATCTGCGAATAGCAGCGACAATGATTTATATAACACAGCGCAACTTTACGTCGAATATCCAAAGTGCTAGCGTATTTTTTTTTTTTTTACTACCTAATTCTAGTGATTCCAAATCCGTCTGAGCTGCAAAGTCGGCAATTTAAAAGACAGAGGAATTACTTGAATCCAATCAAATAGACGTAAAGACAGGATGCGTGGTATTGAAAAGAAAATGGTAATCAAGCCGCGTTGTAGTATCCCGCTATTGTTCGGACTAAGAGTCGTGAACACTGGCCGAGTTTGGAGTGGTTATCAGATAGTATTTGATGGCCTTTTCTCCTGTCTTATTCTTAGCCCGTTAGCAGACAAGGGAGTCAGCGTATCTGGTGATAGTCATATTGATAGTCATATTGAAGGAGGTTTAAGAGCTGTGACGCGAACGAAGAAAACTAAATACTAAAAACAAAGTGACTGTGAAACGCAACGAGGATTTCAAGCAGCGCTTTGGCCGCGCGTAAAGGGCGATGTAATGAGAGAGAAAAAAAGAAGACGAGCAGAGAGAGAGGAAGAAAGAGAGAGAGAGAGAAAGAGAGAGAGAGAGAGAGAGAGAGAGAGAGAGAGGGAGAAAA